ATTTGTTTAGCTACTGCTACAATGATTGAACAGAGACCTTAAATCGATCAACCATTATTTGATCATCTTATTTCAGCAACTAACGAATCCATCTTCGTCGCAGACAGCTCACTTGACTTGAACGAGCTTTTTCAAATAGTTATAGAAACCTTTCTTTTTTGATAACTTATTCACATATTTAGTATTCAACGTTTACCTTTTCCAAGTTGTAATAGAAACAAGTCGCTTAAGTAGCGGCAGTAAGCTTAGTGCTCAAAAAAATCATCAAAATCTGAACGATCGTTCCATGGAACTGGTCTCGTCTGGTAACTGGCAATCCCCAAAGTATCATTCTGCCGTATGTACATGGCTGCGAGGGGATCAAATCTCATTTAAGTGGTGGGAGACATTCATCTCGTATCTTCGCCTTTTCTCCGAAACTCTCAGGCTTCACTTAAACCACTCGAAAGCATTTGCGATAAAACTACGCCAGAACATTTACGTAGGAATGTTTCCTCATTACTCGTCAAGTTTTCAGAAACACCGCTTTCGTTTCCGCTTTTTAGGAAATTGTTCCCTTATTTACTTTTGTTCAGTTGTTCTTCTTCACGGATGGATGTTTCCCAGTTTCATTCCTCTTATGCCTAACAAATGGATGGAGATCGCAGAAGCGATAAAAGCAGTAAAAAATGATTCATGGTCATGGAATAGTAGGCTCAAGTGTGCCGCCAATGTCCGGCTGCCTTTTGCGTCAGCTTCGGTGTTGATCTGTCACTGAAAAAGGATCTGAAAACTGCATCAACGGTAACATGAGCATCCCCTCTGGGCTCGTCTTCCCCATCACTAATCGGGCTATTTTCAGGAAGACAAGCCATAGTGTCCGCAACAAAACCCTCTGTTGATCTAGCCACGAGAAATCTTCATAACAACAACTTCTTTGACTAACAGTTACTTGTGGCTGATTCGAGAGCTTTTCAGATTATGTTTTCTATTTTCGAGGCTGATTCAGCATTCCATGCTAACACCAGCATGTGCATCCGAGCCGATTAGCATAGTCTGCTTTCAGAGGCAATCTCCAAAAAGGATTGATTAACGCCGTGATACTTAATCGTTTGTTATCCCTTCAAGATCTTGTTTAGACCAAGCGTCCCTCGTCTATACTAGTCCTTGTAGGACTAAATGGATTGGTCCAGCCGAACTCTGAATCTAACTATCTTTCCCAGCGAATTCCACTTGAACTTGCGCCAGGAATCCCTCACACGAAACGCATTGTTTTGAAGGAAGGATTTAGTCTGTCCAAAGTAATCTCACATGTAGGGCAACTCCTAAGGGATAGAAGGTGGAAAAAGCTGACAATCTCCTTCTTGAGATATTTTTCACGACACCAAAGAGAGGTAGAGAGAGGTGAAGGAGCCCCTGCAGACAGATCCAGGCGGAGCGTGTCGGTGTTAGCATCTCAACTGAGCTGATCTGCTGACCTAATCTTCATAATTGTACCCATAATCAGTGATGATTGCTTAGGTTGGTCGGAATGTATTACAAATTTCCTAATATTTTCAAGGTAGTTGAATAATTTGAAATGCTATCTAGCAAAGGCAATATCACGCGATGTCCCCGTCAGTTTCGTAACTGCTCTGCAGATCTGTTATGCCAGAACCTGGGCTTATCTGGTCGACATTTCGAACAAATCTTCCTCGTAAACACGAAGATGCATGACATGACGTATCTCATTGCTCNGACCTAATCTTCATAACTGTACCCATAATCAGTGATGATTGCTTAGGTTGGTCGGAATGTATTACAAATTTCCTAATATTTTCAAGGAAGTTGAATAATTTGAAATGGTATCTAGCAAAGGCAATATCACGCGATGTCTCCGTCAGTTTCGTAACTGCTCTGCAGATTTGTCATGACAGAACCTGGGCTTATCTGGTCGACATTTCGAACAAATCTTCCTCGTAAACACGAAGATGCATGACATGACGTATCTCATTGCTCCCTTGTTGTTTGTTCAAATAATCGAGTGGGTTGTCCACACTGATGGAACGGAAACGAGGTCCCATACCTGCCTGGAATCCTTTTGCGCTCTCGTTTCTGGGAGTTGTACCAACTGCACTAAGGCCTATGGGCCTTTGACCGAGTGAATCACAAATCAGAAGCTTTGGAACACTTTTTGGTCCTCGACGACGACGTTTGTCCTAAACGTCCACTGAATAAGTGGGTTACACTATGCGGTACGGCAGGGCAGTATGTGTCATGATGTAACCCAGGTTTCAGGGAAACAGCTGAAGTGGAAACTTCCTTTAATGAATGATGGTGAGACGGAGGTCGAAAGTACAAGTCCCGGACTATCACTTGACTGTCCGAAATGTAAGACGAATACCCGAATCCCGTGAATAATTCTCTCACAACAAAGGTGCCAGTGCTAAGAATTCCGCTTTATCATTTTATCGAGTGTAAATTCAAGTCAAAAGGGAAATCACTCTAGCCGATACAGGTAACTTACCCACTTTTTTGCCTTCCCAACCATTTTCCGTAAAGGAATGCAATGGGCTCTAACCCTCTGTGAGGATGTGATTAGCTTCATCTCCTCGAGTATCGAAGCGGAACTGTTTTTCGCAGTTAATTTTTTCTACAAAGAGCAGCCTCCTTCTGAGACTGCTGATGAAAGGGTGGAGAGACGAGTGTGTGAAGCTCATAAGCCCTCAGATAGCCATCGACATCTAGCTTGACTTCATAATCCTTCATCCGTACTTTTGTTTAATGTGTTGCACTTTGGGAAGGCTTTCAATCACTCCCGAAACAAGCATTTCACGGGCGCCCAGAACCTTCCGAATTCTCTCCGAAGTTCTGATGTAGGGCGTGAAACTGTGTGGAGTTACACAGTTGCAGCTTTTCACGATTGAATTTGCGAGACTTCTAGAGTTACATTCATTCTAATGATTGACAACCGAAGCTTTCTTTTCCCCACGTAACCTCCATGGACCTCAATGCACCTTTGTCAATGTTCAATAAGTTCTATTGATTTTGTCAAAATGGAATTCTCTCGGTCACAATAATAATGAGTTCATCTTCAGCTAATTTTCTTCCCATCCTGCTTCCTTCGATGGCGCTCTTTTCGTCGAAGATCGCTCGAACCCTCGTCTATATACACCGTATGTTGGATGTCCCAGCACCTCGCAACCTAACTCCTTTTCGATGCGGGCCATTCATTGGGCAGTATGAGGTCGAGGGGTGCCTTGCTGCAAGATGGTTGCTCGCTTCGCTGTTTTCCACGATATCTGGGTCGGATTGCAGGTTCCGTTCCTAACACATCACGCTAGCTCACTCACCTACTCAGACCTACACATTAAAAGCTTACCAAAATCTGGAACCAGAAATTCCAAATGCCTCTTCACTTTTTGAATTTTTTTTGTATTTTTACTTCACGTTGATATTACCATAAGCTAGCTGTTTACCGATGATCAGATAGTTGAGCTGGGACCGGCCTCGGTTCTCCAACTCCTTGGCGAGCTAGGACCGTACTCCGGTGAGGGGAACATAATAACTATGCCGATTACGAAAACTTTTATTTTGCTGAATTCCTGGTAATGAAATTCAAGGCAATTTGGGATAGCTTTCAAATGAACAGCGGAGAGATCCTGAATTCGAGCAGAAACGATTTCATTGATATAAACCGTCGGAAAGCTACATAGCAGTGTTCAATCACTCTATCCTTACCTGTTACTCGAGTTTTCAAGATAAAAAATGATCCGGCATACACTTTGTTCAGGCTCAAATTCTTTGCTCTCATAGTTAGAGTAGGAGACAATGAAAGTTTTGGCCACGAACGGGGCGAACACATAAGTTGAGGGCCTTCGGATCACTTATGACATTCAATTTAGGTGGAGCCCTCTTAGCGGCGGCTCGAGCCTCTTTTAGCGGTTTTGAAGCCGCTCCGTTCAGAGCGTTAATTTCTTTGTTTTCGAACGGGACGAAGGAGAGTTGTTAGGATGGGTCGAACGCCAGTCTTGTAGCACGTCGTTCGGCCTGCAGCGGTCCGGACAGCAGCTGCTTACCACCAGATGTATATCCAATCCAGTAAAATAATTATGCGGGCAGGTGATTAGAGCGGCGTACACGTGGGGCAGTGGCTAGCCGATGTGTTGGATGAGCTGGGTCCAGTGTGACGAGCCGGCACAGCCATCTGGCCTTAGCCTTACACAACGTGCTGTACGATTCCGAGTTCCCTTGCCACCCTGCCCGCCCCATCCCGACATGGGTTATCGATCCGAGGGGGTGAGAGCCCAGAGGGATGGGGCAAGCTGTTGGCAATCGCCTGAGGGAGGAGGATTTTCAGGCCTTGTCAGACACGCAGACTACCATACACACATGCAGCACACATACTTACGCCTCATCGAAGAAAACTAGGGATACCATGCAGCCGAGTTATCGCCGTGCTGTGGCCGTTTGACGACTCGCCTCGGGTTCACTTCGGATTCCGATGACATCATCCCATTTCTGATAGGCTTTCACTTAGACTCCAGCTTTCGTTGCTGAAAGTAAGTTTTGAACTTTCAAAGTCCTATCAGTTAGGTATTACTGCCAACCATGACGTCATTAGACAAATTGTGATCACTTTTTTAATTCGTTTTTTACTTCCTTTCAAGATAAATTTCTCTCTGATTAGGGGTCCTTTCACTCAGAGCGACCCCTATTCCATCTCTTTTGCTCTTCCGTAACGTTCTGTTCCTCCAGCTGCTGTTGTTAAATAAACAACTCGCTTTTCGACTCTCTTTGGATACTGTATACTACTGTAGCCTTTAAATGGTTCCGTTGCTATTCCTTCCGTAACTCGACAGTATTTTTGAAAGTCATTCCCAAAGACAGCCTTGACAGACAAGCTAACCGGTCTTCTGGTACACAACCAATTAGATAATCAATTTATTGAACTATAGATCAATCGATTTATTGTTTTTTTAAGTTGCCTATTGGCATCATCATTGCAGAGAATCATAGTCCAATGAAAAATATGTTTAGAAATGGGCGAACACTATGTGGGTAGCCAAGCCAAGGGCTATAATCAGCCCTATGGCTATCCAATGAATTGTAACATGTCACGGGTGTTCATGGAAATGACCGAAGAGGATCGAAAATGTTTAGAAGAACGAAAGTATTGGTGTTTTATGCTTAGCAGGTAAGGTACTGGTTTTGCTCATCATCTTGGGAATCTTAGATTGAAGGTAGAAAGTCAAAATGCTTTTTTCAAAACTTTTTTTTTGCTTTTTAATCTCTTTAATTCCTTATTGTACATGGGATTATCGTTGGAACAAATAAACCAGCGAAATATTCCATGGGACACTTGCTGGAGGTGTCTCGTCTCAGGTTTCACCTGGTGTGTGACATTTGAGATCACGCCATTTCCATTGAATTTTGTCGTTTTGCAAAGAGATTTGAATTGAAAAAAAGTAAGCAACGCCGTCGATTCCCTTTCATTTCGTCTTTTTGATAGATCTTTCCCTACCAGGGCGAGAATCGATTGATTTTCAGTCAGATGCACTTTATTTATTATTTTATTGGTTTTTAAAATGCCTTGTATCGCTAACTGACCATAGAAGAAAAGGATGGCCCGATTGGGAGAGCCTTGTAGGGCAGGCTCCATATATGGACCATTATTGAATGCTTTCAAACAATACTAGTGGGGAGCTATGTTTACCTGAAGGTTCAATACCGTAATGCTTCCAAGTTTTACCGTACTGCTGTTGTTGCACACGTGAAGATAAGCTGAAATGGTTGTTCTTCTCATGGTTTTCGCGCATGAGCAGTTTTGAGAATAATCGCTTCTGCTACCGTAGTCGCTTTTGACGGAATCTGTTATTATCTTCGGCTTATCCGAGGAGGGATGAATTTAGGATTGGGGCATATGACTGCAATGATGGGTTGCCTTTTTTTCCTTAAGACGGGACTTAATTCATTCAGCATTCTTTAACGAATACTGAGGTCAATTGTTCTGGTCCACCTGTGTGAAATGATATTGGGGACCCATTGACCAGAAAAGGCCCACAGCTACATTTCCTCATTATTTCGAGCAGAAATAGTTGAAGTTAACCAGTGACAAAGGTTGATGGACTGAGAGATCGCTGACCTAGAGGGATCCAATTGTCAACTCTCCCGGCTTCTCTCCGATGTTCGTTAAAGAACAGCCCCGGCCTTTCTAATTGTTGAAAGCCTAAATGGATGCAGTCTGAGCAGCACTTCAATTTGCTCTAGCGTTTGCCGTTTTCACTATAAGCCTGAGATCAGGTAAAACTAGGACCCTACTCTGCATGTTGTGTAATTTTTCGATTCTATAATGAATATATCAGAGAAGAAGTAAGCGTCTAGTCTTACACATAATCACAGTTATCGTACGAACATACGGGCTATTCCAGGGCTGTTCCAGAATTTTGAGCTTTTTTACTCTTTTATGGTATCCGGACATTGATATTGGGCTTTTGAATCCCTTTCCTTGCCTAGAAGACTTTCCTTTTGGCCGACTGAACCTTAGTGTCTATCGTACGAGCAGATGGCCAAGTTACTTTAGGGTATTATTGCCTCACATATTTTTCTTCACTGTGAGTTTAATAAGCGACGAAGACATCAAAGAGTATGGAACCTTCTATGCAAGCCGGGTCTGCATAACGAGATTGATTACGACTAATCTCTGGCTGAGTATAAACGTTATGGTACTCTGCAGATTTTAAAAGTAGATAACCAGAATGTTTAGGTTTAGATGTATGTTTTTATGGGTGTATTCGATTGAATTATTCTGAAATATGAGGCTCACAGTACAACAAAAGGAGCACTGTTGAAGTCAAATCTTTCAACCCTTATCATCAGATAGAAGAAATACGGCACTCCGTCGCCACTATGGCGGGTGCGGGAGTGGAATAAAAAATGTTGATCGCAGAGCTCGAGAAACTGAGGGAAACCTTCAGAAACTTCACTTCAATCTCAAAAAACTGCGAAATTACGAAAAGTTTGATCGGTCCCACTTGGTCTTTGTTTTTTTCCAATGTAAATTCTTAACTGAATTCAAAATAATGACGGTGTTGGAGGATTACTGTTCGAATGTAGGGCCATTCATTTTCTGAACTAGAACCACAGAGAAGCATTTCGTGCGACTGTTTTCAGTCAAAAATTAATATTCTATTTAATCACCCTAAAAGACGTGCTGTGGGCATTCCCGATCAGGGAAGAATCCTGATATTCGTCAGAGTGATGTTTTGATTGTAAGAAGGCTCATCATTCAGCCCAGATAGGTGTTATTCAAAAGCATTTCTTACAGCATTGTAACTTTTTGTGTGTCTATGTTGCTTGTGGTCACTTGGCGAATTGTTACCCATTTGTTCTGCCAACGACGTCGTGATGATGAACTGGAAGTCACGGAGACTGTGCCAATTAACGTAAGTGACAATGTGCTGTCAAAACGGAATTCGAGAGCCTGGCATTGAAACAAGAGGAGAAGCATTTGGGTTGGATGACTGAGGTAGGTCGTCGAACTTTTGTGGGAGTTTTCACCTATATGAGGAGTTGGATATCCTCCATCTGCTTTTGATGATGCTTTTTAAATATACATGTATTTGGGCGGGAAGTAATAGGACTGCATGTGATGCAGGCAATCGGGAGTTGATGAAAATTACATTTTTCATGCTGACACTCCTTGTTATAACACTTGTAACTGCTTTTTATGAAAATTTTCCTGCTCATTAATGGTTTCTGGCTGAAAAAGAAGTTTTTAGGCGAAAGATTGGGCTGGAGAGTTAATATCCGGCCAGAGTCTCACCGGTCGCTTCCTAGTCGTACTAGTATTTGTGTTATCCCTGGGCTCTCTTGGAATCTACTTTTACGATGCGAGCTTGTGAGTTTGGAGCTTCTTTTTCTTTCTTTTAACTTCAGTCTTATTTGTTTTTGTTGTTCTTCAATTTTCTTTCACTACAGTATTATTTATTGATGTTTTATCATATTTCTCTGAGAAACTAAATTCAAAGGGTTCGGTCCGCCAAAGAATGAGCCCAGGGAAAGCAGTTTCAGAAGTGTACCATAGCATTCAATTCCCAATCTTCGGTATCTCCTTATATAGAAACGCGTTCTATAAAGCCGCCTATATGGTTCCATTCAGAACAATTCTAGACACAAAGTGTGGTAATAGAGCAGTATGTTCCACAAATTGCTCGCGAATATGTTTTAGTATTAGTTTCCATTGCACCTTGCAACAATTGGGCGGATGTAATGACGTTTCTTCGGAAGCCCATGAGACTGGTATACGGGATTATTGGAAGTTGTACTTGGCCAATCATCAGCTCCTATTACTCAGTCGAAAAAACTGGCTAACTTGCTCAGGGTTCTGAAAGATTTTTGATCCATCAATCTAAAGGGCCAGAAGCAGTCAGGCGAGTCTGCAACCGTGATTATAGGGTCAGATCTCCAAATTGAGAACTTCTAGGTGAATAGGTCAGAGCTCATGCAAGCTTCTGGGATGGCGGTTGAGGTTTTCCCAAGTCCCAGTTTTCCCATGGCGTTTTTGTTGAATCTTTCAGGTGGGCGCGACTTCCTGAATTCCTTTTCAATGGGATTGGAGAGCTCGCTTAACTCTCAAGCAACTATGATGACGCCAGTGTGGAAAGGAACGGGTCGAGGCATTGTCTGAGCCATCAATAAGAATGGAACTTCGTGATGAATGATGCTCTTACCCTCGTTTTTCACCATAGGTTTCTCACCTTCTTCTTTTTACAACGAGGCGGTTCTTTCGTAAACAGCTTACTTTTTTCCCTCCTAATAGCTCGGCCAACGTGGATAACTGCTATGGCTAGACACCCGGCAATTACCCCTTGTTTCTCGCACCTTCTCAACATAACTGTTGTGATGACGGAGCCATAACTCAATTTCTTTATGCCGCATGCCTTGCCTCCAGAGGCGGATATCTTGAATTCCATAAGCGAGATGGAATCGCCGCGTAAAGCGAGACGTCTGCTCAGATCAGCAGAATTGCCTGTGCCCATTAGGCACGAAGTCGAGCGAAAATTCACTTACGCCTATTCTAATTGCCTAAAAGCGTAATGGATCGGGGAATGAACGCTAGCTGCAGGAGAGCGAAATAGATGGATGAGAAGATATTCTAGGAAAGTATGGGAATATGGAGCGATTTCCCAACTTCGAACTCTGATCGCGGATGGCTGAAAGTTTAAAGTTCGCCTTTTCTCAGCTTACATTTTGAGACCCAATCTACAGATCTTACTAGATTTCCCAGTTGGGACGTTACCTTTGAAGCCAATAAACATGCCCACACCTATTCTCGCTCATGAGTTCTCCAGACGCCAGCCCTGATAACCTGAACCTCAGCAAGGGGGCCTGTGATGTCTCTTTTTTTAGAGCTTTTGATTTGTGTTGACCATACTTAACTATCACCTACAAAGTATGGTAGTTGTGCAAAGCTGAAAAAGAGGCCCTTATATGGGTCGTTGGGTCGTGCCATGCTCTTGCTTCCCACTGAGAAGCGCTGTACTCCTAGAAATCGTGTTGAAGGACCATATGATTTGGACAATTAGTAGTTGCCACTTTATCTTCGTAATCAGGCCGATTTGTAGATGGATAGACGGCCAAGTTGCGCTCGGGGTAGAAAGAATTTGGGGATGGGTACGGTGAAGGGCGCCTCGCCCCATAATTGGGCTAATTGGGCCTTATATCGGACGAAAAGTGGGTAGAGAAGGAAAAGCTGAGTGAGAGTCATGAACAAAATGCAAAAATTAAAGGGAGTGCTGCTTAATGACGCATCGTAAGTAATCAAAGGCTGACTGCAACAACAACAACAACAAAAACAACAATAACAATCACGACGACAAGCCCAGTTATTCATTTTTGTGGGGCCAGTGGAAATAGCAGATGGCAAAAAAAAACAAAGTTTATGGTGCCTTACAAGCATTTTCATGCCCTAATCAACTCTGAGCAAGTTCTTATTCATCCTGCAAATTTCCGGGGCTTTTCCTGGGATTTCCGACAAATCTGCTTGCCTGTTTCATGTTGCGAGATAACTTCTGTGCATCCATTTGCAACGTTTAATTTTCCGTGAAATATTTAATGGAGAAATTTGCAATTTCGAGAAATCCAGGAGGGTTTTTCGGCTAATTGCTGCTACCGCAAGCACGCAGTGAATTTGTCGGCGATGAGTCGCGTCATTCATGCGTGAAACACCTAACAATAACAGGATTTCCTCCCCGACATGCCCAGCTCTCACATGATGAGTGGAGGGGCCTTTCAACTGGCTGACTGGCTGTGTTCAATTCTCTAAAGGCTAAACTGAAAGAAAGCCGAATGGAGAAAAGGAAACATGACAGATTCAGTTGGTTTTTTCGGAGGATCCAAGGGATGAACAATGACAGTTTTGTTATTGATGACAGACTTTTTTGTGGGCATCAACATGTACACAAAGCCTTGCTGAATCCTTATTTATGACCACAACATGCAATGGCAATCAATGGCAATGGCAATGGTCCATCCATAAATAGAGGAGAATTAAATAGGAATAAGGGGAAAACAAACAAATATTAACTAGACCTATGTTGGCAGCGAGGGAATGCCCCGTTTGATAGTAGCCGCGATGTCGTTTTGGGATGTGCTTTTTTTCAAGACCTTCATTCGGAGGGTAAAGGAATAGTTCAGTATGAAAAATGGTTTCTGAGATCCCTCCTTGGGATGAACCTGCAGCCCTCAGGATGGCACGCAGGACATTGTTGGGTCAAACAAACTACCTAGACAGGGCATTAAAAGGGCTTGGACAGTATGAGAAGGGCTACCCTTCAACATTCTTCGAAAGCGTGACAAGTTTGCGTGATATGGCTCCAACGGGTATTGCCTTTTTTGGCGGTTTTATAGAAACTTAGATTTCGAATGGGACTCAGAGGTTAATCGCATTTACATTTTTTACCCATCTATTTTATTTGTTTATTATTACTATTATTACTCATTATCACTCACAACCATCTATTATCATTTTTTATTATCATCTACTATCATTGCCGTCACTTATTATTACTATTATTACTCATTATCACTCACAACCATCTATTATCATTTTTTATTATCATCTACTATCATTGCCGTCACTACTTGAATTTTATGGCTGACGAATTCTTCTAAGATTGAATTTTCGTACATTTGTGGAAGTCTGTTCAGGACTTGCATACGTTCATCTGCTTCTGTTAGTCGAATTAAAATCCTAATTCCGGGCCAACTTCGAATTCATTGCTGTGGGGTCCCAAAACATTTTACTCTTTGCTTTGCTAAGCAGGTCTTTCTTGACTTATATAACGCTCCTGAACATTAGACTATTGAAACGCGACCAGACAGCGATATAAAAGCCCTGTTTTCTCGATACTCGGAGCAGGAAACTGGGTTATTTTATCCTTGAAATTTTGATTACCTCAGGTAGCTCCAATCTAGAAGGCCTCCTATTTTCATAACTTTGCTTTTTCTTTTTCACTTTCCCGTC